ATGGCTAGACCGATTTGGCTGATTTTTTTGTTGTGTTTGTTGTTGTCAGGAGAAGGTTCTTATCATAGAAAAAAAATCCTGAAAATCTTATGGGAACGGGAGATAACGGGATTGCACGTACGAAGTCGCGGACAGAAGTTAGTAACAAAATGTAACTTTAATTTCAAAACAACATCTCCAAACAGATTGCATTGAAAACAGAAAAACAAAACACTTAACTGAAGATTACAATTGTTTTTCGAAGAGACCGGAGCTTACCGCACGACAAAGTGTCATGCGTCATCGCGTAGTGCTAAATGTAATGTGCTAATTTTGTCAACATTGTTTTAAGGTTGACCCACAAACACACTTCATACGCTTTGATCACTCAATGCAGCAGATGCACGTTACTTATATTTCATCTTGAGTAACGCGTCTTCAAGAAATAAACAAAGGTATGGAACCATGCCATTGAACGCAACGCAAAGAACTCTCTGACTCTATCACCAAGACGGGTAAATTAAGTAATAAATAAAACAATATTTTTAAGTACAACGAAATCAAATAATTTCTGAACTCTTCATAAATTGAGAGCCTGCTTTTACACACTTAATTTATAAGTAAACGCAAACAAACAAATCATTATACACACTAATCTACCTACAAGCAATAAAATGTATATAAAACATAATATAATTCGGAATAAGACTTGCATGTTTACAATAAACCGGTTCACAGGCAATGGTAATTAGAGGAAACATTTGTACGTCTGTTGACTGTGCCTTTCATCTGCGGAACAGAATTCATACAAATATTTGTAAACACATCCCGCTTATGATTGTTAACGATGCAAGCGTGTTTTCGAAATAAAAGCAGATATAAAATATTCAAATACGACTTATTAAAATAACTTTTACAAATATGGAAAGTCACCGGGTCACCTAGTAGTGCTTTCGCTTCAAGACACGATCGATGAATGGAGACTACTTCGAGTTTAGTGCAAATATTCTTGTTAGATTTGGAAATTTTCCGTTAGACAAGTACCAGGGTACCATTAGATGTCAACTGTTAAAGTAAACATCAAAGCTTTCATCAATTAGACATTATTTACAATCCCGTTTGAAAGTCAATGGTTTGTCTTCTGTCACACTTTAATCTTATTGCTCTGAAAAACTGGTACAAAAATAGACTTGTTTATGTCAAATAGGCTTTGTAAATTTGTAGTTACATGGTAGAACTTCGAAGCAGGTTTTAAGTGATAAATATCCGGACTATAAGTGCACGGTTGGCGCAGTAGCTGGATTCGGATTACCTACTGGCTGCTTGTTTGTATGTTATTTTTAAGTGAATTTTAAATTTTGTTAACGCAACCATGACACCAAAGAAAACCACAGCATGGGAGACACTTTATAAAATACCTGTGACTTCTCTGGTGTTGCGGGTCACGGGTGTCCGTGGGCGGCGCTGATCGCTTACCATCAGGTGATCCGTCTATGGAATAAGAGGCAAATGATGCCTCCTATTCCATAAAACAAAAAATAATAAACTTTCGTCTCAAGAATCTCCTAGTTTTCTGAGCCGGCAAGATCTATCAAACGCAGTTCGGCAAGGCCGCGTTATCTGTGTAGCATTCGACACGTCACTGATAACAGTGTTTTTAATTGACAACGACTGTTTGCCGATCAAACAGTCAAACACACGAGCTCCTTCAAGGGGCAGCTGCTGAACAAAACAAGCCAAGCTTTACTATTACAGTTATAGAATATTTTTTGGAGTAACAAAATGGGAGGTCTACTTTCAGTGCGGCGGACTTGCCACTTGAGCCTACGGTTTGCACGACTGAGCTTAATAGCGGGAAATCTCTGCTACATGCTACGAGCTACGAGCCACGAACAGCACGCTACGAACAATAATGCGCTACGACCGTAGTATTTCGTTTGTGTATGATTTCGTGTAAATTTTGTATTGTCAATTAAAACCAACAAATGGTATCTGCAAGTTTAATATCTTGTGATACCTATCTAATATTAAACATTCCCTCTTAGGAATCTTGTGATTCTAAGTCGACACTGACGAGGAAGCGTTAAATTTTACCACTTGTATATTTTGTTAATATGCGTTTGTAAAAACTCCTCGTATTTACTATAATCTTACTAATACACAAACAAACACCATTTCACTTCACATTACTCACTGTTCAGTGTAAATAATGTAAATAATACAATAAAATAGCGATTAATGTTCTTGCAGCTAACGTGAAGAACTACCGACCGGTTTAGTCTGTCGTAAAACTGAGGCATGCACTATGTTTATTGTAATAGGTACTCCTAACGAACTCCTTGATGTCTGGCATCTCTCAAGCAGCTCGCAAATCGCTATTTTTGTTACAAATTCCTGATAGTTTACGCGGATTTTCCGCGTGTCTAATTAATTAGACAACATTTGTAGAGATTTTGAATGTCAGAAGATAAATGAATCCCTGTTATAAAAGGCATCAGTCTGTAAGACAATTAATAACATAACATCACGCGTTTTATCCCCGAAGCGGTAGGCAGAGGTGGACATTATGCCACTGTACAATGTAACACCCACTTTTCACTATTTATGTTATGAGTCTCATGTAATAGGACGTGAACCTATTGCCATATGCCAGGTACAATTCCAGACTCCGTGCTACTACTGAGAATAAAAACCCAGTAATACTTTGCCCGACCCAGGAGTCGAACCCGAGACGCATTGCTTGGCAGTCGCACTTGCGAACACTTGGCCAACGAGGCAGCGGCTAACAAATAATAATGCAATTAAAAAATGTGAGAGATGTCGGCGACTTTATGTTGTTTGTAGAATTACCTAAGAGAGAAGTCTCTCTCTCAGTGTATTTAATATGGACGACAGTGATGAAGACCACGATTAAACAATAAACAAATGATTTTTACCACAGAACATATAAATATGTTCTGTGATTTTTACAGTAAGGCACTCTATATAAAAAAAAACCAGCGAGTATTTACATAATGTAAATAAATAAAAAAAACAAGAAGTACTTGTGTCTACCTTGTACAGCCGGACACAATGTTTATTTACCAAAAAAATATTCGACTGTTTGATCATCAGATTTAGATACAGCTATCGAGCCTAGACCGAGTCTAAATGCCATAACATGCCAATCAAAATGATCACTGAGATGTCTGATCAGACTTTCAGTTTTCAAAAGAAGTATTCAGCACTACGAACAGTATCTAGATTTAAATACAAAGTGATACAAGACAAATTACCTCGATTTCCGATACTGAAGTGTTCAAAGTAAATAGATATGTAAGAGAGATAAAATTGTTCGAAGTTTTACTGTTAAATCTTACAAAAGTTTTATCATTATTGCACAACTTAAGTGGTTGTTATGAAAATTTGGTTTAATATTCCATCTGAAAAATGTTTTATGAGCACATCCATTCGATTGACAAGCAACTTACAAGTGTATTGTGTGAGGAAAACCAGTGACCAGGACAATAAATTCTTCTCTAATGATAAAGTCTGAAAAAGCTAACAGACCATACATTGCCCAATCCCTAACGGGTAACCGGGGCTCCGGCTCGCCGTGCAGCAGAAGAAACAGGGTGATTTTTAGTCAGTAAGAGTCTGACACTCCCTCCCGCCTCACCCAGGCGGGAGCAGTCATTTTCCCCCCTTAAAAAAATATCCTTATAGAAACAATGATTTTTCTACTTTTAGCTTAGGTACCAAGATCTTAAGTGTACAAATACATTTTTGCCAACTTCCATGAAACAAAAAACAAGTTCTAGTATAGTCATTAACGTCGTCCAATTAAATTATGAAAGCTGTCCTGGAAGTTTCCAGAAGTACCTATCCGCAATATTGTCTCTCGTCGCGTTATTATCTACGCTCCAAAATATGACACTCCGTCTTCGTTATGGCGTTTTTACAATTTTATTATATCAACCTAACTGTAGTTACATACAATAGATACGATACTTATATGACTATAGGTATAGCTAGTACCAATTACGTATTTTCACTCCAACTTGAATAAAAATGCAAAAACAAACTTTGAAATAAAATAGCCGTTGAAATGGACATAAATCTGTGGAATACCATTGCTTTTACGAAGTCTGAATAGATAATAAACAATACTTAGTAGATAAATATAAACCATTCGAGAACATGAAAATAGATCATCGGTAGAGAAACAAAGAAAAGATATTGAAATCTACTGTACCTACTTACGCACGTAGATTTTTCAGGATTAGCCAGGTAAGAGGAATTTAATTGAAAGATCAAATCACTGTTGAAATTAAATTAATCAATAGCCATAAGGGTGTGGATATGTTATAAAAGTTATTTTCGCCTAGAATCGACTTTGCCATTGCATCTTAGAAAGCAAAAGTAATTCAAAGTGTTTTAGTAAGTCAGTAGTTACCTAATTAAGCGTCTGAAGTTGGACGTAGTAAGTTTTGAAACCCTGGGAGCTCTTGTTTCTATAGTTAAAAAAGATTAAGTTTATATTTGTTTGTATTGTTCTCATGTATAATTTCTTATTCGCAAGAATATTTTGGCCACTTCAATTTTCTTGTGGTATTTGCTCACTTGCCCTTGTTACAACACCTACGCCCGTATTTCTATGGATGCTTCGACAAATAGATAAACGGAAAATTACGTATGACTGTGTGACTCACGAAATCTTTGATTAGGTAACACACAATTTGCCGAAATCCAAAGATAATTTGATTGATTTTCTAGTGGTGTGATCTTGGCTTCTCTCGGGTTTCCTCATCCTGGCGTTATCCCAAGTGGGTTAAAAGCAAGATCGATGTGTGTAACGTACATATTTTTGCATATTTGAGTCTTTAATATTCTACTTAATGACACATTAAAGACTGATATTGTTCCTCTACTCCAATTATTCGCACACTGTCAAACAAGTCGAATTGTTTCTTAATTAGATAACAAACTCATTTCTTTATATTAAAGATTGTTCTTTACATTTGATCGTTGTATTGTTCCAGGGAGCAGAGAAGCAGCATGCCATTCGATGAGTGAGAGTGTGTCTGTGGTGCTGCACCAGACCAACATCACACGGCTCACGGCGAAGGTCATCCATGCTGCGGGCTACCATTTGCATCGAGTTGAGCATTTGTAAGCATTATTACCTACTATGTCTAAGATATAGTAATTTTTATATTGTCATCTATGCATCAACTTTACCGTTTTTTAAGTTAACGTACTATGTATAGGTACTATAGACTTCCGAATACGGATAGGTGTGCACAGTATTTCTCTTTTCTGTGGGTGTGCAAATTAGCTGAACGGGACATCCAAAATTTGTCAGTTTTAAGTCCCATGATCTTTTGTATCTAATACTTACATCTAGCACAATTGCAGATATCGTGCTATTATCGAGATGGTTCGAGACAGCCGAAAAACGGACAAGCAAACTTGTTACATATATTTCCTTATTATTTAAGGCTAAGATGCGTATGTACAGTTATTTTTATTCTGTATCTTGTGCCGCTGTCTATATTTCCCAGAATATCTTGATTGATGGCCATTAATGTTGAATACAAATAGATAATCATATTCGTTATCTGTTCGTTGTGTCTTCGATTCTTCGATAAGACCCTCAGTTGTTGGTACTTATATCCTTTATCTTTAGTTCCGAAATCAACGTAGAAACAATGCGAAGATATAAAGAGTATTATTTCTTACAGATCAATAATGGATGCGCCAAAATTGGATCACATAGTAGTGGACGATCTGACTAAGATGCCTAATCTCAAATCTCTGTAAGTATTTCCTCTACAACTCATAAAACAGGTTTATTGACTACATTTTTCCGAAGATAGATTTTGAAATGATTTAAAGTGCGTTTCATGGTATTTAGGTTTGAAGTGCTTGTAAACGAAGCTTATCTTGGTTGGATTAGGATTCCAGATGAGATCTTGTATTATTTACACGTGCGTGCGTCTTGTGCGTGGCAAAACTACATAACGCCCTATCTGCTACCTACACACTCAAATAGACAATTAACAGGGAGTCTAGCTCTTTTCTGGATACTAATAACGAACTTCTTTCTGTAATAGGAAAACAACTGTATCTCTAGCCGTGCAATAAAGCATTTGTTTAATTAACTACCGGTCTAGTAGTACTGCCAATTGAAACATCGCCTCAATTAGGAGCCAAGTGAGACGATATCATCTTTAGTTAATATAACTACGGTATCTCTACTATCAATCTAGAAGTAAGCTTATAGCTTTACTTTAATTACAACTTCGCTGCTTTAAAAGCTGCTTTGTTCGTACACATAGCAATATCTTAAAAGTATTAAAGTTAAAGGTCCGTGAGGTCAATGTAGTGGAAACCTAATCCGCACCCTGTGGGGCGTCATAAGTCAACAAACTCCTACGTTTTAAAAGATTGACGCAGACACTATGAGTACCAACGTACTACGCCCAGTGTAAGCAAACATTATAACAAACCAATACATGTGTAGCCATTGTCAATGACCATAATGCACGTACTTAACGTCGTTTAATTCTTTTGGTAACACAGAAAAGAAAGATTCGGCAGTTAGTTAACTGGAAATGGCCTAATATGATAGGAAATACGTCCTATTAGGTATAGTAGGTACAGCATTTCCGATACGAATTGTCTAAATATCATTAACAAAGATCAAGATCATCACCATCAACAACAGCCTATAAGTGGCCACTGCTGACCAATGCCTCTTCTCAAACGGAGGTTTGAGCATTAATCACCACACTTGCTCAATGCGGGTTGGTGATTTCAAACTTATAATCAGAAATTATAAGCCCATGTTTCCTCACGATGTTTTCCTTCGCCGTTTGTCAGTGGTGTCATATATAACTCGGAAAATGTCATATTGCTACATGCCGTTGGCCGGTTTCGGACCCTCTTGCATGAGAAGCGTCAATAACCTCCGGGCCACCAAAGATCAAGATATACACTGCGGAGAACCTAACGGGTAACCGGGGCTCCGGCTCGACGTGCAGGAGAAGGAACGGGGTGGTTTTTAGTCAGTAAGAGTCTGACACTCCCTCCCGCCTCACCCAGGCGGGAGCAGTCATTCGATGATTTTCCCCCCTTAAAAAAAAAAATCCCTCTCTTTTCAAGCTTTGAATACAATATTTCATACAGTGGATTGTAATTCATTTCCCTATTTATTCATGTAAATAAAAAACTAAGAAGTACCCCCTGCTTGTCCCAGGTTTATAACGCAAGCACCACGACTACACAGGGTGTCGCCCCTACCGCCGCTGCCCGAGCTACGCACATTGTACGTATGTATTTTATTTATTACACTTTTGTTTTAATCTCAATACATTATCGCATAACATGATTCATAGCTTGAGTATTTACTATGTTATTTACAATCAGACACGTGGCAAGTTTCTTTGTATTTATCAGAGTAGGTACAAGGCAAACATAATACAACTATCATTAGTACCTATTTGTATTTTCCTCTAAAAAGGAACCATCAATCACTTTTTTTATTGACGTGTTGTGGAAGAAATAAACATAAGGTGTTGTTACAAATTCAATTAGCGTTACCCAATTGCAGGGAAATTATTATCTCTTTTTTTATTTATGCAAAGGAAGAAGGGGTCATCCCTATTCAATTAATCATAAGTATGGAGAATATGGCTATAGGCAAATGTTATTATTACGTAAGACCTTCTAGTGAATCACATTGTATAATATCGACAGCATCATCACAACCTCCGGATTGGTGGAAGTCCCCAACCTAAGCCACGTGCACGACAAGAAGAATAACAACTCACTCGCCTATCTGCAAGCTATGTAAGTAGCTACTGTTGTATTTATGTGTTCTACCAGCGAACTCGAAAACAATGGAGCTTGATAAAAAAAACATCGAACTTGATCGAAAAGTATCGAGCTTGCCCGAAAATTGTCAAGCCTGATCAAAAAGCCTGATTCGTAAATCTCAAACTTTTCACTCAAGTTTATAACCAATTTATTCTGATTAGAAAATAGTTTTTGCATTAATAAATCTAGTTAAGTTTTATAATGGACAACCAACAATATTTCTAATTAAAGTTATTTCGTTCCAGAGACCTAGAAGGCAACCACATAAAGCGCCTACCGCCGCACGCATTGCGCGTGCGCGCTGATCAAGTGTAAGTCCCTAGGTACATACACACATGTGCTACTTTATTTTTATTTCTATGCATGATTTTCCAATAATTTGCTGCAGTTTTATTTTAAGATTTTGTTACTCACTCCCCCGATAGGTAACAAGTTCGGTGGAACATGCCACGAAAATTCCCATTTTCGCACATTCAGGGGAAGACGGAATTGAACCTGATTGTTGTAACACATAAGTCAAAGCAAGAAAATATTTTTCGAAAAGGAGGAGGTTTTTAATTAGACTTTAAGTATTTATGTGTATGTTTATATCCTCTTGAGTTTTTACTGAGTGTACCGATTTTGGCGATTCTTTTTGTAACTGATTCTTGCAATGTACCTGGTCCATCAAAATTTGATCGAGGACAAACGAGTAGTATTTATGTTATCCTCGTTAACGCGAATGTCCGCTAGCCTCCTACGGGTAGTTACATACAAGTTCATACAACATTTATCAAATATTGTCACATGGCGCATAGAGAAGCCTTGTGCAAATAACTGTAGTTAATCCGATGTTATCTGTAATCTAGCATTAATTAGTTTACATTAGTAATTGCACCCATAAGTGAAAATTATTATCTTTATTACCGCACTAACATACCTACGGAATGGTTGCTATGAAATATTACCTACACAAGACATTCCTGAGAACTTGAGAAGTAGGTACTTGTTATGTTTAAATATGTAACAGGCTTTTCTTTCCCCTTTTCTAGGTCCTTAAACTACAACTTGCTAGAAGAAGTGCCTGCTTTTGCGTTCAAGAATGCGCAGATTTCAAAATTGTAAGTTGTTATTTACATTTTCAACTGCTCTGTTTTCTGACTACTGTCTTTACTGACATATTTTTTTATTATTTTCAGGAGTTTCAGAGGAAACACGAAACTAAAACATATTGATGAAAATGCCTTCGCATCGAATTTGCTCCTCCGACAATTGTAAGTCACCCTTAAACAAAACTCGGTTATACAATTCAGAAGATACCTTATATTCATAAATTCCATTGTTTCAGAGATTTAAGTAACACCGCTATTACCTCCCTGCCTACCGCAGGACTACAGAACTTGGAAACCCTTAGAATAGAGAAGACACCTTCACTGAAATACATCCCATCGATTTACGAATTTCAGGTCAGTTACTTATCGCTTTTTATAACAGAGAATAATAAAGAACGTGTGCTGAGGGTACTGTTGCCCTATTATGAGGTGATGCCTAGCAGACTATGTTATGCAGATCGGCTCGACCAGGGCAGCCTCACCCTCTTACAGACTACCATCGTAAAGTAGTACCTAGATAACTTAATGTTGCTGCTTTTCGTTTGACCGTGACAAGTGAATTTCTAATCGTCGATCTATTTGATTACGCCATAATTTTTCGCAAGAAAGGGTACACAAATAAGATTGTGCATTAGCAAACTCATAAAGAAACCTCAGAATTAGCACAGATGTAAACATGTCGTCTTCATTTCCTGATCAAAACATACTATTGTACACATCCGTTTCTAAAATAAAGGGCAAGGTCACGTCTGTGTGCCCTGCAAACATAAATACCAGCACCCCTTACTTCCTGTACAAATGTTATGTGACTCAGTAATGGCCGACTGCTTTCAATGTAGTTTTAGCATGTTTCTAGGCTCGGCAACACATGTGATTTACGTGTTAACTAATAGTTGCTGTCATTTCGTTTCTTGCTTGATGGATTAATAGCTGAATACATTTTAGTTTGTGTAGTAGCAGTAGCTTTATCTTTTTTTGCTGTCTAGCTGCCAGGTCCGCGAGGCCCGACATTGCATGTGTGCTATTTCTCGATTTCACCAATGAGCAATGCTTTCGTTGTGTTAATGCATGTTGCAGGATGATAATCTCATTAAAAATATTCTATAGTCAATAAACACTCCAAATGGAGTCCACGTAATTTTTTGAGACCAATATAAATAGGAGTTTACAAAAAGTTCACGCTATTTCCCCCTTATCAAATCCACGTTTCCATCCTCAGAGTCTCCAGAAAGCGTACCTGACGCATCATTTCCACTGCTGCGCGTTCCACTTCCCCGAGCGACACAACCCAACGAGACACAAGCTCTATGAAACGCAAATCGCTATAATGCAGTCGGTAAGAAGAAAAATCTTTCATAATTTTTTCTCTAATCAAGATTCTGCAATTTTAATAATTACCAAAAAAAATATCGATGAATACTAGGTACCCAATATGAAAAGTTGTATTTTGTCAACAGAAATGTGCGAGCGCTAGTCAGCAGAAGAAACCAGTCGCCAGAAGAAAGAAGAGGTCACTGGCACCGCTCAAGATCGTTATGCCTCAGCGTAAAAACGATACTACGTAAGATAAAGATTTAGATTAATTTGGAACAAGTCAAAGTCAAAATCATTTATTTTAATTAGACCAGGAAGGTGAACTTGTGAACGGCAAACAAAAATTAAAGTGTCCTTCTGTCTGACAGTTCTCTCTATTACAGTGAAGCTATTTGCTCGTTCCAATTAGAACCTGTCACTCAGATTCTTAATAGGCAGTATTCCTTCATACGATTACAACCTTTATTTCTATAGATGGCCCTCATTTTTCACCAGTTATGAACCCAACGTAGAAAACAGACGATTCAGAACACCCAACCAAACTTATAATTGTATTAACAAAATATCTATATTCTCAAACATACCTACGACACAAAAGTAAAAAAATATTTCCGATTTCAGAGACTCATTAGAGGAAGACTTGTCAACAGCGACTACGAGCGAGGAGTACGACGCTAACTTGATGGACGAGTACTTCTCAGACTCCGGCAGTTGGGAGGATGAGGACGACCAGGGAGAGTTCCACGAACCAGTCAACAACACGCTAGGGGCCGGCTTCGCAATCATATCCGCTGAGTGCGGGAACTTCAGTATTAGGTAAGGGCCTTAGTTGCTGTTGTTTAGATTATGTAGACTCCTCATGATAGAGTATTTCCCCATACATTTAATTTTCACTCAATTCTTGTGAACTAAATTATTTTCTCTTTTCAGCCCACGAAAAGTGGAATGCTTTCCCGCACCTGATGCACTGAATCCGTGCGAAGATGTGATGGGCTGGTCGTGGCTCCGAGCGAGCGTGTGGTTCGTCATCACGGCGGCGGTGGTGGGCAATGTTGCCGTCCTGCTCGTCTTACTTACAAACCACACGGAGATCACAGTCCCGCGGTTCCTTATGTGCCACCTCGCCTTCTCTGACCTCTGCACCGGCCTCTACCTGTTTATGTTGGCCGTCGTAGACCTCAGGTCTTATGGAGAATTCTTCAACTACGCCTACGATTGGCAGTACGGGGTCGGCTGCAAGATCGCTGGCTTTCTATCAGTATTTTCTGGACAGTTATCAGTAATTACTTTAACTATAGTCACATTGGAGCGCTGGTTCGCCATAACTTATGCAATTTACTTAGAAAGGAGGATCTCTCTATCAGCCGCAGCTAAGATAATGATGGGCGGTTGGTTGTACTCCTTCCTGATGGCTGGTTTGCCGCTGGTCGGCGTGTCAGACTATTCGTCTACGTCAATATGTTTACCGGTTGAGAGCAAGGACGTGGGAGATGCTGTGTACCAAGGATCTATATTTATAGTGAGTGCGTTGGCGTGGGTCACGATTGTGGTGTGCTACGTGCAGATATACAGGTCGCTAGGGGGTGGAGAGAGTTACGGAGGGAGGGGGGCGGCCGCAGCCGCTGAGAGACGAATTGCGAATAAAATGGCGCTCCTCATCGGGACCGACCTGCTGTGCTGGGCGCCTGTGGCGTTCTTCGGCATCACAGCTCTAGCAGGAGTGCCGCTAGTCGATGTTAGTCACGGGAAAGTGTTGCTAGTATTCTTTTACCCTCTGAACGCTTGTGCGAATCCATTCTTATACGCCATATTAACGAAACAATACCGAAGAGATTTGATAACGTTGATAGCACGGACGGGTCACTGCACCTGGTTAGTGGAGAAGTACAAGTTGGCGGCGACCCCGCCCCCCACCGCGCACACTAACCCCTCTGCGCCGGCGCAGCTGATGCCGCTAGTAGACTCCGTCACGTATCAAAGGAGCCAGTCACAGTGTAAAGACAGTAGTGAGGTACCGCTTTAAGTGTATAGTTGTAATTAGGTTATGTTGACATTATTACATGGTTATTTATTTTTATTTTTGTGTTTTATTGACCCAACAAAAATAAAATTCGTGTTTTTAGATAAAAATTCAATGATTCAAATGGACTTACCACTACACTCTAAAATCAGAGTGAGACGCACAAGAAGCTGGACTAGTTGTAGAAAACGTCTGTGGAGTATTATTGTCTACCAAGGTATATCACCCTGTAAATGAAAATCTAACATCTTAGAACAAATAAAAGGGGAATATTTAAATAAAAATTTACTAAACTAATAAATGAAATCAAGTATCTGTTTATACATTTATTTACAAACCTTTCAGCTTAAGAACAATTGTGCATGTTCCTCTAACTCACTCAGTGCATTGCTATCAATGTACTCAACTAACAGTCTGTCACCTTCCAAAAGAACCTCATTCTTCATCAACTCCGATATTTCCACATCCATCTTTACTGGACTTATGCAGTAGCTATCTAACTGTCTAAACAATCTTAGTTTAACAGAGCTCATTTTATTATTATCATTCTTTATATTACAAGAATCACAAATGCTGTCTATAGCTCTGCCTAAGCTCCATTTAGAACTGATAAATACTGGAAATGTGTCTTTAATGTCTGGGTCTAGAGTCACAGACTCAAATTTAGTAATGCTGTCCTCTTCCTGGACTATTTTAATTGGCTTTGGTTCCATGTTCACAGGCTTTTTGATAGCGAAGTAAACTCTGTCCGAAGCTGGTATTGTCTTTGGACCTACTGCTTTTTGTTTTATCCTCATTAATTGTATTTTTGATGCTGTTTTCACTTTAGCTGATGATTGGAGAGCCTTGCGGATGTTCTCTGTGATCTGAGGACAAGAAATTTCCCAGAAGTTTTTGTTATTTATTTTAAATGGCTATATTTAGTTAAACTGTCAAACACCGAGTAGTCACCGGTGACCGCAACCTTTTGTTCTTTAATTGTATCTATAATGACAGTACTCAACTTTAATTGTATCTAAATGACCTGAATGCAGATCTCCTCAACAAACTTGACCGTCTTCTAAATAGCTGCATTCGATTCGTTTCTAACTTACGTAAGTACGATCATGTGTCTGCACAGCGATCATGGTTGAAATGGTTGCCTATTCGTCAGCGCAGAGAGCTAAGGGCACTCACAACTTTATTTTCTCTGCTTTTCTCTCCCACTTCCCCTAACTATCTAACTTCACATTTCCAGTATGTATGTGACAACCATACTAAAAATCTACGCTCTTCGCATAATCGGCTTTTGCACTGTCCTGCCCATCACAGTAACTTTACTCATTCTTCTTTCTTCATACAAGTCATTTCTCTCTGGAACACGCTTCCAACGAATGTCAGAACCGCAACCAGTCGTTTGAGTTTCAAGCGGAGGGCGCGTGAGTACATTAGCAGAAAGCTGGCAGTTTCATAACATCTTTTATTAGTTTTCATCTTGTTTTAATATAGGATAAATTCATATACGGCTCATAGATAGATTATATTATGTATGATGTTATTTATATCTATATATATATATATATATGTATGATTATATATATTATTATATACGTATTTTATGTGTGCTTTGATGCTCCTTATTAATTTTGATAATTACCACTAACATCTTTGCAGCTTACCACCTACCACATACATTTCTGCACTACCCAAAGGATGACTGGCAGAGAATGCTGTTAGCATTAAGTCCTCCTTATGCAATTGTATTGTATAAAACTTAAATAAATAAATAAATAAATAAATAAATATCAATCTATCTAGACATCAAATATCTAGATAGAAGGCAAGTACTTGTTACCTTTTCTTGTAAATGTTTATTGGCTTCCCGGAATTGTCTTCTTGGAGCTTCAAGCTGCTCTATTTTGGCAGCCATGGTTTCATCATCTATTTCTGGACAGGAACTGCATAAAATATTGGCCATGTTAAATATATTTTCTCAATTCAGTATGAAAAAAGAAAGAATGTTCAAATTAAAGAAAAATTGCTGAAGTGTTTGACTAAGAACATAATGTGAACCAATTAGTTTTGAAAACCTGGAGTTCCATACTTAGTTATTTCTTAGAAATTATAATTCAATACTTACGGATGAAACCTGTGTTCAATACAAAAGTGTTTGTTACATTTAGGACACAACATTTCATGAAGGTTTCCCTTCCGGCATCCTTTCTCTGAGCACCGGAATATCTGATCATCATTTTTGAGGTTAACTTCTTTAGGTTTTGGCGCTAATTCACATTCACCGGACAAACAATGTTCGTTAAAGTGCTCGCGGCAGAATACCTTGCCACACTTGCATTGGAGAGGTAGGAAATCTACCCGGTTGCAATTCTGATATTGGCAGTGTTCACCGAGGGTAGGAAACTCCATTTTTATAGATAGGTAATGGACAATGGTCGTGATCTTCAGTGTATAAACTTGATTATCTTTTCGATTTCAAAAGCACTTAGTAGGCACTTTATATAATGAAATATTTTTTTACAAATAAATTAAAATCACTGTATCATCACAATAAAAATGAAAACAGAAAATAAACAAGAATATCACGTTCCATGCAATGTCAAATTTATCATTCCAATCAGAAATAGACAAAGACAGCTATATACTTTTGCCGCATATATGAAACGAACAAGGAAACGAATGACGTTGGAAAATGCTTACGATTGATAAATTGAAATGGAACTTTACGTCAATGTTTTTGCAGAAAAGCGAAAATGACAGTCATCGCTTTCGTCCAGAAAGATTTTCATTTTTGGCTCAGAATTGCTCAGAAATATAAAGGATGTATATTAGTTCCATGCGATGAAGTAACAGGTATTTTTAAAAGTTGATGGATGGTGGATGGTGATTGGTGAAACATGATTGAATCTAAAGAAATCATATGTAATTTCCATATATTTATTTAAAAACCTCTAAAAATTAATTCTTTAATTACTATAAATATTACTATAAAATAAAAAAAATAATATTTGGAAATATAAAAAATAGGAGCCGACCAGTAGCGGGAGCATGGTCCAAACTACCGGTGGTTAGGGCTCCAGTCCAGAGACAGAAACCTCCTCACGATACGTGCCGTTTCTAGGAGAATTGCCTTCTGTACCTGGTACACTGGGCCTGCCCTTGATCTATCCACTTACGCCTACGCCAGCCTCCTGAGATGGATGTCGAGGCTTTTAGAAATTAACAAATTAACCCACTGGGCGATACGACTTTCAGCACGATGATAGCCGATTCCACACTCCACATGTCGACAACCTCATGAGCTAAGTCTAGATATTGTATTTGACCGGTCTATCATTAGTAATGAACTAATGATAAACCGGTCCAAGTACAATGTGATATGGTCATTTTCCAGAACTAGGTCGGGCACATACTTATAGAACCTACGGTACCTCTGAACTCGACAAGTCGATAGTGCAAATCAAGTTGCTGATGGATAATCTTGGCTACGTGATTGTGCCTATGCAAGTATTCACTTTTAGTCAAACGACCACAACCAGAAATATTATGACTAATGGGTTCACCAGGACTTTGACATGCCCAACATATGTCAACCGTCCCATCCTTATATATTTCCGGTAGTTATTCGTAAAGATAACTGTCGTCGATTATTGACTGGGTCCATGAAGTGCTCGGAAGAAGCGCCCGTGGAACTCCTTGTTATGCCTTCTGGGTAAATATTATTATAATATCTCAAAATCGTAGTAGTTTGTCATCCCCAAAAGTGTGGGATATCCAGAGTGGAATTAGATAATATATAATTAACCTCATTTAGAGGAACTGGAACAACATTTTTATGGAAATACATACACTTAAGTAGTTAAGCAATTCTTTATTGCAATGAAAATAAATTAAATTTGTTTCACTTAGTACATTACATATTTGAGTCAATTAAAACAACCTATTACCAGGATCTTAAAGACAAAAATGCATTCACAGAGGTAGAAGACCACTGACACTGATTTAAAATTGCTGGTTTATGTTCTTTATTTATTCTGTGGTAAGTATAAAAAAAGCCACTGCTTCATGGACGTGTACAACAAATAATAAGATGACATGGCAATGACCATACAGCAGTAGGATCATGCTGCAGTTGAACTTGTAAGCTAAAAGTTCAACAGTAATAAATTTCCAACCACATACAGTTCATATCATTTCAAATAATTATCTATTTCAAAGGAAATAAGCTTAGTAATTGTATCACAATTTGCGGCTGGTTTTTCTAAAGTTTTGTTCTATCTACATGAGTTTCAGGGTCTCCATAGCGGCCTGTAGCCTTTCGATTTCGCCCTGAGATTGCGCTAGTTTCTCTGAGTTGGTCTTTTGTACTTCTGCAGGGACCTTTGTCGTGTAGTCCTCGGCTGCCATTGCCTGTTGAAGCTTGGTTATGGTTTGGGACAGAGCATCTTTCTTCTTTTCTAGTTTTGTGATCTCCTTTTGTGGGTCGATGAGGCCCTGTGGAGAGGAAAGAAGGCATAGTTTTACAAATGGGTGATTTCAGTTAACTCAGTAGTAACAGTTTAGTAGATTAGTAGTATAGTACATACATGTCTGTAACCCGCTACATGTTCCTACGCTACAACGAAAGTATATTGTAGAAAAAGTTCGCTCGTTTATTACATCCTACTAGAAAAGGTAAGGAACTTTTGTGTTTAACAATAAAGGTGTTCTTATAGAAAAAGGTTAAAAAAATAACCACATACCTTCAACACAAGTCGAACTTCAATCTTATCAGACACGGTAAGGATAGAGCATCCAACAGGAGGCTCGTCATCGGACAGTTCACTGTACGCTAAGGACTGTAAACTCCTGAACAGTCCTTTCAGGGTGTCCACCGGCAGGTCCTCAGCAATGATGAGATGGGCCGTGGTCTTTTGTTTGTTAGCCAAGTTGTATTCAGAACGAGTAGACCGCACTAAATGCACCATTTTAAGCACTGTGTCTACATTAGATTCTAGTTCTTCAGACCTCCACGGCGTGTCGGCATCCTAGATAAACAAAGATGTTATTTTAGAAATATACCA